CCACAGAGCATTCAGCAAGACAGTGGCTCTCCTGATACCTAGTGCCAGTGTTTTGATTCAACAAGACTGGAAAGAACTCAGACATGGAGGACAGGTGTAACATGCTTTATTCAGCTCACAGGTCGCAGGGGGGAGCAAGCATCGCAAGTCCACCCTCATTCCTGGTGGCAGGGGAGCTAAGTTATACATCACAATCTGTGTCCAAAATCAGCTCAAGGGAAAGGTCCTGTGTACCTTTTATACCCAGCAGAACAAAAGTGGCAACATGCAGTTAGATAAGCATGACTGCACTGTACACCACTATAGCTATGTAGAAATACATGGCACCTTCCCATGGGAAGAAAGCCAGAAAGCCTAGACAACTTCATCTTGTCCCATCCCAAGGCCATGAGAAAGCCCAAACACTTTTTCCTGTCCCTACACCTGGATTCCAGACTTCTGGCCTCCAGAGCCAGGAGATGATACATTTTGGTTGTTTGAAGTCACCCGTTTTTTGTTACAGCAGCTACAGGAAATTAATATAGTTGACATGTGTCTTTGACATGTCCCTCATCAGAGCACATGCAGCTCCTACTCAGAGGGGCTTTGAAGTCAGCATCTGTGTGCACGTTCATCTCCTGGAACACATCAGATTATGTGGGGGAGACAGAAAGGGGCAGTCAGTGACACAGCCATCCACCGTGATCCCTGCCCTAAAATGAAAGCTGATCTGCTTAGACATCAGTCTTTTAGATCTGCAGATGTTGCAATGACTGTGGATGAGGGGATGTGGATGGTAGAGAAAGGAGTTTTATGTTTTGGCATCAGCTAAAGCAGTGCTTCTCAATCTTCCTAATGCTGCGACCCTTTAATACAGTTCCTCATGTTGTGGTGACCCCCAACCATAAAATTATTTTCGTTGCTACTTTATAACTGTGATTTTGCTACTGTTATGAATCATACTGTAAATATTTGATATACAGGATGTATTTAGGTGACCCCTGTGAAAGGGTCATTTGACCCCCAAAGGGGTCACAACCCATGGGTTGAGAACTATTGAGCTAAAGGATTGAGACAGAGAGAGATGCTCAGACAGACATCATCTCTGTGTATGTCTTTTTTTCCTCATTATTATGTGCATTTTTTTATTAAATCATAGCTGTGTACATTAATACTGTCATGGGGTACAGTGTGCTTTTTTTATATACAATTTGAAATATTTTCATCAAACTGGTTAACATAGCCTTCATGTCATTTTCTTTGTTATTGTGTTAAGACATTTATATTCTACTTTTAGAAAGATTCACATGTACCCTTATAAGATGAACCATAGGCGTGATCCCACCAATCACCCTCCCTCCACCCATCCTCCCCTCTCCCTTCCCCTCCCTCTCCCCTTTCCCCATATTCTTGAGCTATAATTGGGTTATAGCTTTCCTATGAAAGTTATAAATTAGTTTAATAGTAGGGCTGAGTACATTGGATACTTTTTCTTCCATTCTTGAGATACTTTGCTAAGAAGAATATTTTCCAGCTCCATCCATGTAAACATGAAGGAGGTAAAGTCTCCATCTTTTTAGGGCTGCATAGTATTCCATGGTGTACATATACCACAATTTATTAATCCATTCATGGGTTGATGGGCACTTGGGCTTCTTCCATGACCTAGCAATTATGAATTGGGCTGCAATAAACATTCTGGTACAAATATCTTTGTTGTAGTGTTATTTTTGGTCTTCTGGATATATACCTAGTAGAGGAATTATAGGATCAAATGGCATGTCTATTTTTAGTTCTCTAAGTGTTCTCCAGATGTCTTTCCAAAAGGGACATATTAGTTTGCAATCCCACCAACAGTGTTCCCTTTTCTCCACAACCATGCCAGCATCTGTGATTTTGGGATTTTGTGATATGGACTAATCTTACTGGTGTTAGATGATACCTCAAAGTAGTTTCATCTGTGTCTGTCTTGACAACTTGAATCACACTTATTTTATTTTTTTAATTTTCAGCGGAAAATCCGCCAGAGCTACTTTGCCTCTGTTTCCTATTTGGACACACAGGTGGGCCACCTTTTGAGTGCTTTGGATGATCTTCAGCTGGCCAATAACACGATCATTGTGTTTACCTCAGATCATGGTAAGCATCTGAATATTCCTGTAAAATGTGCTTTTTAAAATTACCATAAACATAGGTGTGTTCTCTTTTGTGGATCAATGATACCCATAGTCTGGGGCCATGGGTGCTTTTCTGAATAATTTGTTAGGTGGGTTGGGCTGTAGCAACTTTTTGTTCTTGGTAAACACAGAGCTCCATTTGTGTAGGAAGCTCTTTTAACCCCAATTTCTAACCTAGAGGAAGATTTTTAGTTTTTAGAAGGAGAATTTAGAACAATCCTGACAGAACCCCGCAAGGCCTTCAGACATGACTCCATGCCACCCACCCCATCCCTGCTCCTCTGCTTCTCAACTCTTCTAAGGCTGTTTCCTCTTTTTCCAAAAATGGAAGTATATTTTTTAAAGCATTCTTTTCAATTTGAAAACTTTTCAACATGCCCAAGATTGGAGAATAAAACAGCAGCTCTCCCAGTTCCTCACTCAGGCCATCTCATTCATCTCATCCACACCCACTCCCCGACTCCCAAATTGTTCTGATGCAAACCCAGATGGTTTCATTTTCTGATCTCTATCTCTAAAAAGTATTGCCTCTTTTGAAGTATAATCATAATACCATTATCATACCTAGAAAAAAGAAAATAATTCTTTCATTAAACATGAAATCGGACAATGGTTAGTCATAACATGCTCATCATAAAAAGAAAAAAGGATCTTGATTGTATAATGTAGGGCCAGAACATCTTGCCCTTTTATCCCCTTGCCCAAGGCTGACTTGTGCTGGCAGATTGGGGATCCATCTGGCAGCCTTTGGCTATGGGCATATGCACACGGGGATGTATGTTACACGTGTATGTGTGTTTGTACCATGCAGCTCATCACAAGACATGATGTGTACTGTTAACAGTCCCTGTTTTTTTCCCACTGAATATCATAGACAGTTCTTTGTGTCACTTGTCACAGGGCCTGCCTTTTCCCTTGTAAAGGTCTGTCTGTAGTATTTTATTATGCAGAGGTACCAGTATTTTTCATATATTCCTAATGATCTGCCATCCACCTCTGCCCAGTTTCTTCTTCTACGTGGACACACTTTTTGCTCTGACATAGCTGCAGTTGATTACCAATAGCTTGGCTCAAAGTGTCCTCCTGGGACATCCTATATCTGAACCACCTGAGAGCTGATAGAACATGTTGGTTCGTGTACCCTGTCTCATGAGCCGGTGGGTGTGGTGTGGCCTGCAGGTCTGGGGACAGGAATGTGCACTGTAGCAAGCATCTCAGGTGCTTCTGTCTCCCTGTCCATGAGCTCTGTTCCCTAGCCTGTGCTGCCATGTCTTCATTTGGTCCTCTGGGGCAGGAGCCAGAAACCTTCAGCGCTGTCTGCCCAGGTCATTGACCTCTTGGTCCTCCTGATGCCCCAAGGGATCCTGGGGGCTGGCTCAGGCACATGCTCCCCTAAGCAAGATGTTCAGGTCTCTGCTCCTAGCTACAGTGGCACAGACTGAGACCCAACACAAGACTGATAGATGTGTACTTGCAGTCAGGCAGTCCCTAGCTATTTAGTGAGCATTTGCCCAATGTCAGGCACTGTGCTGGATCCGGGGGCCACCTCTGTCTGGAGTTGAGTGACCAACTGTGGCCAGCAGAGGCCCGTGGACTGAGTGCTTGTCATCAGCAAAACCTCCAAGTGCCTGACTGATGTACCTTCAGGGCATCCACCTGCAGCTCCATCAGCCTTCTGGGGATTGACTCCTGAGGTCCCACTGCTTAGGGCTCTCACATTCCTGTCCCACAGGCTCCTCGCTCAACCTTTTAGAGTCGCTCCAGACTGGGACAACATGATCCCCAAGCTGGTACCCTAGGTACCCATACCTGACCCACCCGTTCACTAGTCCTCACAGGTCAAGGGTGCCTCGTCCTCCTGGACAGAGTGGAGATGTGCTGGCCGGGGGGACTCCTCAGCCCATGGGGCTGGTCACCTGTGGAAACTGCTCTCCTGTCGGGCTCCACCCAGCTCTCTGCACGTTCTGCTAACGTTCCAGCCTGACAGCCAGGCTTGTACATCTGTGATGGGTGTCAATTCCATCATACTAACTGGTGAAAGATTCCTTTCTACTTGGGGGCTTCTTAGGAGAGCACTGTTGACTAGGGCAGGTCCTGGCCCTGCTCTTGCATGATGGGCAGTGTGGGACTCCACTGGTAGCCCCAAGGTCACTGAGCCAGTGGGGTCTCATGCTGTGCTCCACATGGTTCTGGTTCAGATGCCAGCAGGTGCGGCATCAGATACACATGCATTTCCATGCCTCCTCCAGTCTACCCATGGCAGATTTTTGTGTCTTTGCTGAATTTTATGACACTAAATACTCAATGTATGATTTCTGTCATGTATGTTTTTTTGTACAAAATATATTGCTGACACTTAAAAAGACTGAGTGCTTTCAAATGGAAAGATTCAAAATGTCTTTTTTTGTAAGGGATATTTTAAATCAATGTTAATGGTTGTTTTTAATCAAAGTTTAGGATCTGGAAATCTGAATTTTTGCTTTAGTGCATGTGTGGTATGTATTAAAAATTAAGGAAGATAACCTTGTCCTTTTTGATTTTGACCTTTTATGCTGTAGTTCCACAGCTCAGTTTTTGGTGGGGGCCCACAACCCAAACTGATAACCTGAGCTTGTGTGACATGAGTCAAGAGCTGGATAGGCCCAGAACAAGACAGTTGTGACACAACAGATTTATTTATTTATTTATTTATTTATTTTTTTTTTTGAGACAGAGCCTCAAGCTGTCCCCCTGGGCAGAGTGCCATGGCATTACAGCTCACAGCAACCTCCAACTCCTGGGCTCAAGCGAGTCTCCTGCCTCTGCCTCCCAAGTAGCTGGGACCACAGGCGCCCGCCACAACGCCCGGCCATTTTTTGGTTGCAGCCGTCATTGTTGTTTGGCGGGTCCGGGCTCGGGATTCGAACCCGCCACCTTAGGTGTACATGGCTGGCGCCTTAGCCGGTTGAGCTATAGGGGCCGAGCCGACCCAACAGATTTTGGGGTCCCTTCCAGTCAAGAATGAGCCTGTCGTAGTAGGGGAGGCATGTCTGCATGGGGATTGCTGGTCCTACAGAGCCCTGCATAGGTTTATATTGCTGGCTGCTTATTAAAAGAATAGTTTGAGTTTGGGAATTTAATGGTATTTTTCCTCTTAAAAGCTGTTCTCATTAAGGACAAAAATCTGACTTTGAATATAGCAGCATTCAGGAGAAATCACCCTTTTTGTTATAATTCTAGGAGAATTTCTTTCTTTTAGGTTAGCTTTTACTTCCTTTGGCTTTTACAACAAGAAATGTTTCTAAATAAACCAGCTATAATATGGTTATTCATTGTCTGTCATTCTGTGCTCTTTATGGACCAGGGTGGGCTCTAGGTGAACACGGAGAATGGGCCAAGTACAGCAATTTTGACGTCACCACTCGTGTGCCCCTGATGTTCTATGTTCCTGGAAAGACGGCTTCATTTCTGGAGGAAGGAGAGAAGCTTTTTACTTACCGTGACCCTTTTGATTCTGTCTCAGAGTTGATGGAGCCAGGTATAAACTATGCTTGTGAGATATTGCCTGACATAGAGCACCTTTAGTTTATGTGTGATCCACCTAATTGATTCATAGGCTGCAGGCTTGGTTCGATAAGCCCCCTTATGTCCCTATGTTGGAATTCCTTCTCAACATTGTGTGTTCTGCACACAATTCCTGAGCACCTCCCATGCTCTGGGTGGAGGAGTGGCAGAGCCAGAGCTGAAAAGTATGACCCCTGTCCATAAGAAACCCAAGTGCCCTTTAACACATGAATGGATTAATAAATTGTGGTGTATATACACTGTGGAATACTATTCAGACTTAAAAAGTTGGAGATTTTGAATCTTTGTTATAACTTTGTTATAAATTTGGTGAACTCTGTCTTAAGTTAAAGCATCAGAAAAATGGAAAATCCAACATTCTATGTACTCAATACTAAGTTGAAACTTGTAGATTAACAACAATGTGCACATATGAGAGAAAAACTCAATTAAATTTAAGAAAGAGGAGGGAGGTTTGGTAAGTTCCTACCTATCAAACAAGTATAATGTGTGATAATTAGCACACTTCCTGAGTGAAGGTCCCAAATACAACTCAGACTTTACCTTCAACATGCAAAAAAATGTAACTTAATGGTATATACCATCATATTAATCCAAAAGAAAAAGAAAAAAAAAGCCTTGGAGTGGGGAGAGACCAAGGAGTGGGTGACATTTCCAGGATGGGGAGGGCTGATGGAGAAGTGTCAATAGCCTACTTTGTAGCTTAGAGGAAAGGGCTGTTCCTCTAACAGATTGGTAGAATTCTTTTTTTTTTTATTGTTGGGGATTCGTTGAGGGTACAAGAAACCAGGTTACCCTGGTGGCATTTGTTAGGTAAAGTCCCTCTTACACTTGTGCCTTGCCAGATGGGTAGAATTCTTTACTACATGCATCCTTTTGGCAGGGACTCAGCCCTTTTGGGGGCAGATGTTTTCTATTTTGGCTGCTCATCACTTTAATGCATCTATAAAATCTACCGGGCAATTCTGCTGTGCTCTTTCCCACAGTGAAAGTCAAATTTATTTTGACTTCTACGTGCCAGTACCTCAAAGCTTTGAAAACAGCAGTGACACCCCCATCTCATTCCACCAGTATCTTCTCTCTCTCTCTCTTTTTTTTTTTTTTGAGACAGAGTCTCACTTGGTTACCCTTAGTAGAGTGCTTTGGTATCTTAGCTCATAACAACCTCAAACTCTTGGGTTCAAATGATCCTCTTGCCTCAGCCTCCCAAGTAGCTGGGACTACAGGTGCCTGCCACAACTCTCGGCTATTTTTTAGAGATGGGGGTCTCACTCTGGCTCAGGGTGGTCTTGAACCTGTGAGCTCAGATAATCCACCTGCCTCAGCTTTCCAAGTGCTGGGATTACAGGCGTGAGCCACCATGCCTGACCTACCAATACCTGCTCTTCTCCAGGTAAAACTCCTATTCCTTTAGCTGTTCCCACAAGGTAGTGTTCAGACCCATAGATATCCTGGTCTTTGTGTCCCCAAAAGCTCCAGTTTGAGAAATCACTTCCGAATATCCTGTGGACCAAATTACCCCTTCTGCCTGCATGGGGTGACCTGATTGGGTTCTTGTGAGTTGTATCCTGACTTGATCTGCCCAGTCCATTCAAAGATAAGTCATATACTTCAGATGACATTTCATTTTTTGGGAGTGCTTTCTCCATGGACTTTGTTAAACCAAGCTGCCCCCTTTCTGGACTTTAGTATTTATCTTTAACTTAACAAGTAATACTTCATATTCTGTCATTTCTGGATCTTTCTGAGTTACCTTTAAACTGCCCAATTATGTTTTCTGCACATTTGATTTTTGTGAGTTGGGTGCTCTGTTTTCTTTCATGTTGTTGAAACGAAGGTCAGACAGTTTTAAGGCAGGATATTAGCCCTTTATTTGCTGGGAGAAATCTGACAGGTTGATACTCTTTCTGTTTTGAGACTTTTCTTGGGGCATGTTCAGCAAGTTATAAATTCACGTAATTGCCCTGTCATCCTTTATATTTTGAAATTTTTTCTCTAGTCTATCACTTTTTCCTGAAGTTCAGGCTTACATTTCCAGTCCGATTTGGCCAGTCGACCATACCCAAAGTTCTCTTTCACTTTATGTGTTTTCCTCAACATTCTTCTCATCCTCAGGAAATAGCAACAGTTGCTTATGCTAGAACATCGTGGAATTGTCTTGACCCCTGTCTTTCTCTCATACTCCATGTGTGATATGCAGTCCATCACCAAGCCTGTTGTACTCCATTCAGAATCTGTCCCTACCACTTGCCATCACTTCCCCTGCCATCCCACCTTGGATCACATTGCTGCCATCTCATAATTACTGCAACAACTTGCTAAATGATCTCCTTGCTGATGCCCAGGGTCCCTTGAAGTTTTTACTCCTCAGAGCAGCCAAAATGATGTATTAAACCCAAGTCAGGTCGTGTTATAGCCTTGCTCAGGAGCCTCCTATCCTTTTAGCTTACTCTGAGTAAGAATCCTCACACAGTGGTTGACAAGTCCTTATGTGATCTGGTTCCCATTATCTCCCTGAGCTCATCTTTTATTTATTTATTTATTTATTTATTTGAGACACAGTCTCACTATGCTGCCCTCCATAGAGTGCTGTGGCGTCACAGTTCACAGCAACCCCAAACTTTTGAGCTTAAGTGATTCTCTTGCCTCAGCCTCCCAAGTAGCTGGGACTACAGGTGCCTGCTGCAATGCCTGGCTATTTTTATTGTTGCAGTTGCCATTGTTGTTTATCTGGCCTGGGCCGGGTTTGAACCTGCCAGCCTTGGTGTACATGGCCGACACCATAACCACTGTACTACGGGCACTGAGCCCTAACCTCATCTTTTAAAAATTTCAATATATTAGAGAGTACAATTACAGTTTTGTTGCATGGATATGTTTGTTGTATAGTGAAGTCTGGGCTTTTAGAGTACCCATCACTTGAATAGTGTTGATTGTACCTAATAGGTAACTTTTTTTTATAAAGATATTTTTAATTTTTTTTTTTTTTATTTTTGACTGGGGCTGGATTTGAACCCGCCACCTCCAGCATATGAGGCCAGCACCCTACCCTTTTGAGCCACAGGTGCCGCCCTAGGTAATTTTTTATCCCTCACCCCTTCCTACTCTCTCACCTTTGGAGTCTTCACTGTCTATTATTCCACTCCATTCGTGTGTACTCGTAGTTTAGCTCTCACTTATAAGTGAGAATGTGTATTTTATTTTCCATTTCTGAGTTACTTCACTTAGGATAATGGCCTCCAGTTCCACACATGTTGCTACAAAAAACATGATTTCATTCTTTTCTATGGCTGAGTAATATTCAGTGGTGTGTGTGTATGTTTGTATATATATTAATATATATCACATTTTCATTCACTTATAAGTTTGTGAATACTTAGGTGGATTCTTTTCTTATCTTTGTAATTCTTAATTCTGCTACAATAAACATTATGAGTGCAGGTGTCTTTTTTTTAATATTTTGATTTATTTTCCTTTGGGTAGATACCCAAGAGTGGGATTGCTAGATTGAATGGTAGATCTACTTTTAGTTCTTTGAGGAATCTCCATACTGTTTTCCACAGGGGTTGCACTAAATTCAGCATTCCAAAAGTATATAAGTATTCCCGTTTCATGACATCCATGCCAAAATTTATTTATTTTTTTGACTTTCTAAGAATGACTATTTTGACTAGAGCAAGATGGTATCTGGTAGTTTTAATTTGCATTTCTCCAGGGATTAGTGATGTGGAACATTTTTTCATATGCTTGTTGGCCATTGGATGTCTTCTTTTGAAAAATGTCTGAACATGTCAGTTACCCACTTTGTAATGGGGTTGTTTGCTTTGTTTGTTTTCTTTGCTGAGTTCAGTTCCTTATAGATTATGAATATTAGTCATTTGTCAGATGTATAGTTTGTAAATATTTTCTCCCATTCTGTAGGTTGTCTATTTACTCTGTTGATTATTTCTTTTGCTGTGCAGAACGTTTTTACTTTAAGTACCATTTATTTGTTTTTGTTTTTGTTACATTTGCTTTGGAGTCTTAGCATAATTTTGTGCCTATCCCAATATTCTGAAGAGTTCTTTGTAGTTTTTTCTTCTATAGTTTTTATGTTTTCTAGTCTAACATTTAAGTTTTTAATCCATCTTGAGTTAATTTTGTGTACAGTGAGAGACAGGGACGTGATTTCATTCTTCTGTATATGGCTTTCTAATTTTCCCAGCATTGTTTATTCAATAAGATGTCTTTCCCCCAGTGTTTCTGTCTGCTTTGTGGAAGATCAGCTGGTTGTAGGTAAATGGCTTTATTTCTGGGTTCTCTGTTCCATTGATATATATGTCTATTTTTATACCAGTACCATGCTGTTTTGGTTTCTATAGCCATTTAAAGTCAGGTAATGTGATTCCTCCAGCTTTGTTATTTATTTTTGCTTAAGATTACTTTGATTATTTAGGCTCTTTTTTGGTTCCATATGAATTTTAGGATTTTTTTTTTAAACAGGCATCTAGGTCAGTTGTCTTGTGTAGTATACTGCAGTCTGGATTTGTCTGATTGTTTCCTCATGACTATATTCAACTTACACATTTTCAGCAAGTGTACTGCATGAGATGTTGTATCCTCCATTGTATCTCATTGAGGGCACTTCATGGCCTGTGTCAATAATGTTAAATTTGATCTCTTGGTTAAGGGGGATAGCATCAGCCACATCTTGCCATTTGAAAAGTATCTTTTTTAAAACTTGCTTTACTTTTTCTTCTTTATTTTTCCTACAAATTAATGTCTAGAGAATGAAATTGGGCATTATGAAGCAATGTCTTTTTTTTTTTTTAGAGACAGAGTCTCACTTTATCGCCCTTAATAGAGTGCTGTGGCATCATAGCTCATAGTACCTCCAACTCCTGGGCTTAGGTGATTCTCTTGCCTTAGCCCCCCAAGTTTCTGGGACTACAGGTGCCTGCCACAACGCCTGGCTATTTTTTTGTTGCAATTTGGCTGGGGTTGGTTTTGAACTCACCACCCTTGGTATATGGGGCCGGCACCCCACCCACCAAGCCACAGGCACCACCCAGAAATCTCTTAAAGATCCAAAAAGATGAGAATGATAGTACGGGATCAGTTTTACATTTACATTTACATTCACATTTTGAAGATGGATGAACCACAATGAGATACCACTTTGTACCCATTAGGATGGCTATTGAATTAATACAAAAAACAGCAGGTGTTGGTGAGGATGTGGAGAAATTAAAACACTGTGTATTGCTGGTGGGAATGTAGAATCGTACAGCCTATGTAGAAAATGGTTTGGTGGTTCCTCAAAGTGTTAAATGATCTAGCAGTTCCTCTCCTATATATGTATCCCACAGAAATGACAACAAGCATTGAAACAAAAACTTATACATGAATGTTCATAGCAACACTATTTATAATAGGCAGAGGTGAAAGCAACCCAGGTATCCATAACATGAAGGGAGAAATACAATGTGCTCTATCCATGTAGTGGACTATCGTACTGGCTTAAAAAGTAAAGAAATTCTACTACATGCTACAACATAGGTGAACCTTGAGGACATTATGCTAAGTGAAATAGGCCAATCACACACACACACAAAAACAAATACTGTATGATTCTACTTATGTGAGGTATCTGGAGTATTCCATTTCATAGTGATAAAGTAGAATGGTCTTTTCCAGTTCCTGGGGGAGGAGGTTATTTAATGGGTACAGAGTTTCAGTTGTGTAAACTGAAAGGAGTTCTGGAGATAGATGATGTTGCTGGTGTTACAAATTCACAAGGCGAATTTACTTAATGACACTACCCTGTACACTAAAAAATGGTTAATATGGTAAGTTTTGTGTTATGTGTGGTCGACCTTAATAAAAAGAAAATAGGGACCAAATGCAGACATCCAGGCAGGAATAATTTGTGGGGTGATCTGTGAGACTCAGAATATGCTATTCCTCAACACACTTTACCCAGTGGTTTAGCCTGATCTTTGCCTGAATCAGTTATTAAGTAGTTTTTTGAAGTGCCAACAGTCTGGGGTACCTTAACTGGGTGAGTAGTTAGTAGAGGGTGAGGTGCTGAGATGGTGGTGTCTCTAAACATCTATGAAATGGACATTGTAAGTGAAGAGAACATGTGCAGCCCAGATGGGTTCCTTTACTCTTCCTGCCTGGTGTGGCAGGATGAGTAACATAACCTAACCAATTCTTCTGTGTCACTTCCTTTTGTAGGCAGTCAATCCATGGACCTCGTGGAACTTGTGTCTCTGTTCCCCACGCTGGCTGGACTTGTAGGACTCCAAGTTCCACCTCGCTGTCCCATTCCTTCATTTCAGGTTATGCTGTGTAGAGAAGGCCGGAGCCTTCTGAAGTATTTTCAGTTCCATGACATGGAAAAGGATCCATACCTCCATGGTAATCCCCGTGAATTGATTGCCTACAGCCAGTACCCCAGGCCAGCAGACGCCCCCCAGTGGAATTCCGACAAGCCGAGTTTAAAAGACATAAAGATTATGGGCTATTCCATTCGCACCATAGACTATAGATATACCGTGTGGGTTGGCTTCAATCCTGATAAATTTTTGGCTAACTTTTCTGACATCCATGCAGGGGAACTGTATTTTGTGGATTCTGACCCATTGCAGGATCACAATATGTATAATGATTCCCAAGGTGGAAAAATTTCTCGATCACTGATCCCTTGAGTTTTGTTAACCACAGAGAGCAAATAAAATGTGCTCCCTTCCAGTTAGTGAGAAGAGGAGTTGAGCTAGTTATTTAGTGATTACCCATAATATTGCAAACCACCTGAGGGATAGGTAATCCAAACAGACATTAACAATTTGGTCTAAGAGTTTGTAACAGGCCAGCCTTTTCATTTTGTCTCCATTAATTTATAATTGGTAATTGGACTGGGGCTGGGCTGAACCTTTTTGTTCCCTTTTTAAAAAAGTCATAGCTTATTTAGTGAATGAATAAGTACAAGTGAATAAAATAAAATTGTGTCATACCTTTGGATATCAGGACCATAGTAAGCAAACATAACATTATACTCAAGAAAGGCTTTAATTATTTGTGGTATTTAGTGCATTTTGAAAGGTAACCATATGTCAAATTGAGTTCCAAGCTAAGTTCTGTATTATTTTGTTTATAATTTAATTATGTATCTTATGTAATCCAGTATATTCAAGATATTATGTCAACATGTAATCCACGTTTGTTTTTCAAATATAGAGTTAAGAATAATGCTAGAAGCCAATGTCATAAAGTCTATTCCCTATTTTTGTTTCTAAGACAACAGGATTTCAAAATCCAAAGATAAAATATGCATGAAGTGATTAATGTGGAATTTTTACATTAAATAATAAATAATGTTCAGTAAACTAGAGGCATGAGATGTGTGGGAAATTGGATTAAAATTGTTCAGATACTTTCTCATCTAAATAATTTGTTAGCAAATAATATGACCCTTGAACTCAACAGTCATCTGTTAGAAGATCTATTCACCATGAAAATGTTTAAAGGTGTAACTGTACCCATAGATTGAGTCACTCAAAATCATGTTAGTGTTGTTTACCATGGTGTTGCAGACATCTGTTTATCAAAGAGGCAGAAAGCATTGTACTTTTAATTGGATACTAAGGAAAACATTAATTTTATTCTAAATTATTTTGAGGACTCTGAACTTTTTATTAGTGTAAAATTTAGGTAATTGTTAGTCCTCACGAATTTAATTCTGTTTCCTTAATATGAAATTATCCTAAGGGTGAGTGGTTGTCATAAGTTTAGTATATATCTTAAAAGGGATGGAATATTTACAACTCATAACATGTTGAAGCTGATGAATTCATAAGTAGTCATCAGAAGAGCCAACAGCTTTCAAAATAAATAATAATAATGTAGTCCTGTACTGAAATGAGTATTTTTCAGTCATTTTCTTTTTACAAACGCTTCAGTGTTTCAAGGTAAATGTTTGTGAAACAAACTAAAGCAAATTGGGTTAAGTTACTATAGTGTACTAAATTATAACCAAAAATGACAAGATATTATACTAAAATCAGTAATATTTCAAAGAGTTTTTTTTGGTACAGATTTGTTTATGATAGAGATATATGAAGTTAAATGACTAACTGTTCTGGCAGCAACAATTTTTACTTCAGTGAAGGGCCCCAATCATTTCTCCTACTCCTGAAGCCTGTCTCTCTTTAGGAAACCTCAGCTTTTGTAAATGGTTTCCCTTAGCTTTTTCTTCTCATTCTTCATCCTCTTTATTGCCCTCATCACATCTGCTGTGCTTTCTACAGTACAGTCTGCAAATTCCTCAGGACATAATTCAGTGTATTTGGCCTTATTCCCTACTCCACAGTTACAAGTTTTAGCCTGGGATTTTATTTCATGCCCATTTGTTGCTCCTGGTTAGCTACAATATATGTGCTTTATCATTTTTGCCTCGCTTTGTTTCTTGAAGCATGGTTTTAGTGTCACAAATCTCCAGATTCTGCTCCTGATGAAGTTGTAAGCTGAATGGTGCCTGAAGAGTGACAAGCATCTCCACTGTGCAGCTGCCATGTTGGCCGTAAGTCTATGGTACTTTCTCTGGCTGCAGTTTCTTATTCATCTGTGTGACTGAAGCTGTATCCAGGGGTGGGTCTCCATGGGCTGCTCTTGTGTGTTGCTCTGTCTCCACTGGAAGTGCTTCTCTTTCCGTTCTGTGAGGGCACAGCCCCAGAATGCTTGTGAGCTCTCCTTAAACTGAGTTTTTCTTGGCCATCTTTTAGAAATAAAGGCTGTATTTCATGTTTGTTGGCATCTTCTTCAAATCATCGTATGAGTTATGGTTGCTGTTTGCATTTTTGACACTGACCCCAATTTAGAGCCATTTTCTATTTACTTTTGCACATCTCTGACACACATGGGGATGACAAGCCCCTTTCTGGTTTTCAGATATTGAAGCTAACCAAATTCCTTTCCTTGACTCAGCTTAGAGGAATCACATCTTTGTTGCTTCATATAACTTTTCCTAGTCCTGCTGAGCTGGACATACCTGGTCAGTGGTTTTCCAGTCACCGCATCTGTACAAATCTCTACTTCACTTGAGCAGGGGCTCTTTATGTGGTTTAGTTGAAGGCAGAAGTAGTGATCCCAGATGTTTTGCATGGCCCTAGTTCATTGACTCACAAACATGAGGGAGCATCAGAAAAACCCACAGGGCTCGATAAAACCCAGTGGGCTGGGGCCTCCCCACAGTGATCCTGATTCAGTGGGTCTAGGGTGGGACCTGAGATTGGTATTGCTTCAAGCTCCACGGTGACATCGCTGGTCCAGAGACTATGCTTTGAAAACCACTGTCATCTGTGCTGGCTGCTCAGTAGCCATTAGGCACATGCATCTATTTAAATTTACTAAAGTGAAATAAAAATTTAAAAGGAAGATTCTCAGTCTTCCTTGAAACTCACCATGTTTCAAGTGCTCAGTAGCCACAGTCTACACAATTTCCACCATGACAGAAAGCTGGACTGGACAGAGCTGCCTAGATTATCTCTGGATTTGACCGGACTCTGCTGGCTGTTGACAAGTTGCTCCAGTGAGCTGTTTCTCTACTCTGCTTTTGCCCACTGAGACTTTTCCAGAAGTGAGCAAAGTACCGTGTTTCCCTGAAAATAAGACCTACCCCAAAAATCAGCCCTAGCAGGATTTATATGCATTTGTTGAATATAAGCCCTACTCCGATAATAAGACCTAGTGATGGGCGTGGCTATGCAGATACGCTATGCCATGCATTTTGGTGCGGAGGAAGACATCCCCTGAAAATAAGCCCTAGTGTGTCTTCTTGAGAAAAAATAAATATAAGACAGTGTCTTATTTTCAGGGAAACACGGTATGTTTGATAGGGAGGTCACTATGGCAGTCGGCCCCTTCTTCTCCACTCCCATCGTCATTGCCTCAGTCCTTCTCCCTGCCTTCCCAAATGGTTTACCTACCCTTCCTCTTTCCTCCCTTGTCCCTAAAGGAATCCACGTGTCTTCCTAAAGTCCCTCTTTGATCCTGCCCTTTGAGAACACCGTCAGTGCCTACTACTGGGTCTAGATAGACCTCTGCTGAGCAGTCAGAGTCTTCCCTGACTCCACAATGCCCCTTTCCTTGGCTGACCAGTTTGCGTACTGGTCCCTGACTCTTCCTTGCTAATCCTTGCCTCCCCACCCCCTTTTAGATTGCCCTCTTCCTCTCTTCACCCACCCATTCATGATCATCTTCACTACCCGGCTTTCATGCCCACCCCCCCAGGAGGCTGAGAGTTTTGTGACTCTCTAAACTGTATTGTGGGAGGAAATGAACATTGCTACAGAATCTTGTGTTCACCTTACTTAAAAAAGATATTTTTTCTGATTATAAAGTTGTTGTGTCAATTATAGAAAGAATTGGAAAATAGATATATAGCACAAATACATGAATATTTTATCCTGAGATAACACTTAATATCTTGTCTTTTTGGGGGTGTGAATTTTTTACCTTGTTGTGATCATACTGTATTCTTTGTTATGCAATTTATGTTCTTTTAAACTAAGTATTATGTATGGTTATAGCAGATTTTTGCAAAGATACTTTATATTTGTGGTAATATATTGCATAGTTTTGCCAAAATTTACTTAACCTTTTAATTGTTGGACATTTAGCTTGTTTCCAAATTTTCAGTATTGTAAACCATGCTGTAATCATTAACTTTGTGAATAAAATGTTTTTATGTATTTCAAATTATTCTCTTAGGATAGTTTCTCAGTGCTGAGTTGTCAAAAACATCTCCATTTCACTCTTCTTCCCACTCTCTTCCACTCTCTTGCTACCTTAGAGTAGTAAAGTAAAAAAATAAACAGGTATACAAATAAAAACCATAAAACCAAAAATATCCCTATGATAACTGGTGATAGTGGCGTTCTGTTTTAACTTCTAATTCTTTGCTTGTTAGTGACCTTGATCATTGTTCTGTATGTATGATTATTGGGCATTCGTATTTTTGGCTGTGTGAATTTCCTTTAAATTTTAGTTATGGGTTTTAATTTTTAAAGTAATCAAACAAATTGATCTTTTCTTGTGTGATTTTTTTTCTCTTTTTCCTGTTAAATGTAGAGATCCCCTCCCCAGTCTAGAGAATAAATATTCACTTTTTTTGCATTCTTTGTGGTTTGGTTTTATATTTACCCTGTACCTTCACCCCATTATCAGAATAATATGAGCTCATTATATAAAATTTGGAGTGTGAAAAATGGTGAAGATGAAAAGAATTCCACCATGAGGAATATAGCCACTGTTGACATTTGTGTACCTCCTCCCACTCGTTTTCCTACCCACACACATATGTGCAGATATGGACATTTTTAACTTTACGTAGCTGAAATATACCACATCTTGCTTTTTATTTTTTTTATGAAATCATAACTATGTACATTAATGCATTTGTGGGGTACAATGTGATTTTATATGTAACACTTAGATCTAACATAATGTTAGCACGGTTTTTCATGTTATTGACAGTTCTTGGTTAACAGTTGTAATGACTGCACCATCCTTCCTACATTAATCATTTTTATTGAAATATATTTATATATTATGATCTGTTTATCCATTCACTCATCAGTGGACACTTGGGTCATTTCCACTTTTTGGCTGTTGCAATTATGCTGCTATCAATATAGGTGTACAAATTTCTGCCCATGTCCCTGCTTTTAATTGTTTTGGGACTATACCCAGACTATGATAATCCTTAGTTATTATTATGGTTATTACAGATTCTGGAAAAGATACTTTATATGCATGGTAATGTATTCTGTAGTTGTATGGTGTACCTCGCTGAGAGAGGTAAGCAAGGTGACTGTGGAGCAGCCTCACCCTGCCTACAGAAGGAAAGCTTT